CGCAGCGGCCAAAAAGCGCCAGGGCCCGGCTCTCCGGCGGCAGCGCCACCTGCCGGCCATGGGACGGGAGCGGGAGGAGGCCGCTGCGTGTCCCGAGCTGTGGGCCAAGCCTTCAGCACAAATCCGAGCAGACGTGCTGATGTGAAGCAGCTCACTGCGGCCACGTGCGGTTGTGCTGGACGCACTCGCCTTCCCCTGGCCTGGATATGCTTTTTCCCACTTCTGACCTGTGCCCGCGCTGTTTAGAGATCCCAGGGGAATTCCCGGGACGGGATTGCAGCCTTCAACCTCTGCCTCGCAGCAGTGCAGAAAAAGGTCCAGAATATAGTCCACAATTACGGTTCCTGTGTCTGTCTGGTTTTCTTCAGATATCTCTGCCTCCTACAGGAATGACCCTTGTGTGGCTATTGAAACGTGACCTGGGTAGGTGGTATGGTGCTAGAGTGGCAAGCTGGCAGACCCTTTCTGTTTGGGGTCCAACAACCTTTCTTGCAATGACTCTTGTGATATTTACTGCGCTCCCATTTCCTGGCACACCGCTCTTCTGTAACAGGCAGAGTTACCCATACATGCCTCAGGAAGACTTTTAGATGTTAGCTTTTCTTGGAGTGAGGATGCAACCACTGCCAGGATGACCCTGCCTAGAACTGAAGTCAGACTATCTCCTTTTCAATATTGGCACAATGTTAGCATGCTTCCAGTCTTACAGAAAATGAATGCCAGCAGGTTGGAGAGATCCTTTGTTAGTTCTTTTAGGGCTCTAGACCTGCTTATTTAAAATGTCTATTCCTTGTTTAACATCCCTTACCATATGAGGGTGAAATAGTAAATAAAGGATATTTGCTAAGGGACTGTAAGGTACCTCTTCATGTAACACAAGTACATCAGTGGTGCTCAAATTTTTAGCCTTACAGCCAGGTGAGTGGTACAGGGCTGGTCTGCAGGCTGGATTGCACCCAGCATACCAGGATCAGTCCCACATGCCTGGATTGGGCCCTGTGCTGCCTCCAACTGTGCTGGGATAGGACTCTGGGATAGGACCTCTGCTACCTCTGCCTAATCTTGTGTGCTGGAAATGGGGCCCAGAGCCCCATACTATCTGTCTGGCCCCACAGGTCATGATCGTGCCCCACACCACCCTGCTTGCCTGATCTAGTGCATAGGGCCAGACTTCAGGGCTCCCTATGTATCCATGGGCAGCACTGTGAGCTGGATGACAGTGCAAGGGTTGCATGTGGCCTGGGGGTTGAGCAGCCTGGGAAAGTGGGGTAGCACTGCAGGGAGCAGGAAGACGCAGGAGAGGATGGAAAGGGATGATTGATGTGCGGTCTCTATTACTGCAAGAAATAACATGACACCTTGGTTGAGAATCATTGGCCTACAGTAGGGTGGACAACTGTTTGGGCCTGTGGGCCACATAGGGAGTTTTGGTGAGTTGTCACAGGGTGAACCAGCACACCTCCTCTTCCCCCACACAGCTCACCAAAACTCTCTAAATGGCCCCCATGCACAGCCAGGCAGTAGAGATGGGGCTGTGGGCTGGTGAGGAGCAGCATCTGGGAGTAGGATGGGCAAATGGGGCTGGGACTGGAATCGGGATTGCAGGGAGGTGACAGTATGGGGTCAGAGCAGAGCTGCAAACCTCTGCCCACATGCCCCTGTGATGAGCATCAGTTCTGAGTGCAGGGAACGGATTGTGGCTCTGCTCTGGGCTCTGGCCCCATGTTATCACTGCCCCGTGATCCTGAGGTCTCCGTGGAGACTGGCTGGGACTCGTGTGGGCAGGGCACATGGCCAGGTGGATGGGATGGGGCGCAGGTGGATAAGGAGCTGTGTCCAGGGCAGGGTCAGGATCTTGGGGCAGTGAGAGCATGGGGCCAGGACCTGGGGTAGAGTGTGATCCACTCCGTGCATGCCTCTGCCTGTAGAACTGGTGCCCATCACAGGGGTGTGCAGGCAGTGGATTACAGCTGTGCCCTGGCCTCATACTCTCATTGCCCCATGATCCTGATCCCTGACCCTGGCCCTGCCCACCTGTCCCTCTCCTGAATGCAGCTCCCTTCTTGCCTGTGGCCCCATCCCAGCTGCCAGATCATGCACTCTGCCTATGTGGGTCCTGCACCCAGCAGTGGATGCAGGGCAGATGGGCCAGGGTGCCTGGGTAGTGGGGTTGTGTCTGGCAGCAGCAGCAGGAGGGAGTCATCACGGGCTGCCAGGAAAGAGAGTCTGGCCACCAAGCTATTCCAGCCCCAGCCCTGCTGCACACTGGGACAGTGGGACCAGATGCATGAGCCATGGCATGGCCTGGGCTGCCCCCCATGCCTGGGATGGGCAAGGCCAAGGGACCCACTGTGGGCTGGACAAAATGTCTTGGCAGGCTGAATCTAGCCCATGGGCTGTATTTTGTCCACCCCTGGCCTATATCATTGCTAAGATTTCACAGAGTAGGGTCATTTTCATTGGCCTTCATTGTGGTCAGAAGGTTAGTAGGAGAGGCATTGGGGTCTTGGATCTTCAATGAGATGGGAGTCCAAGACAGGTGGTTGTTCCTTAAGGAGAGGATCCTCTGATCTCAAAGGGAGTTAGTCCCAATGCACACCAAGGGGGGCAGAAGTGCTAAGAAGCCCCCATGGCTTGACAAAGGCATCCAGGGATGCCTAAGGGAAAAAAAGGAGGTATACAAACAGTGGAAGCAAGGGGCTATCACCAAGGAGGATTACACCACTGTTGCTCAGGACTCCAGGGAGGCTGTTAGGAAGGCCAAGGCAGAGATGGAGCTAGGACAAGCGACCAGAATTAAGGATAATAAAAAGTCCTTTTTCAAATACATAGGAAGTAAGAAGAAGGGACTGGGTAATGTAGGGCCCCTACAGGATAGGCTTGGCAATCTGGTGATTGCGGCAAACGAAAAAGCTGACATCTTTAACGAATTCTTTGCCTCCATATTTCTGAACAGGGACTGGGACATCTCCCCCACAAGAATTGCGGCGAGGGAGGCACTGCCATGCCTGGGGTCAGGGATGACCTAGTTGGGGAACTTTTGGAGGGGCTGGACGTGTTTAAATCAGTAGGTCCAGATACTCTTCATCCAATGGTGCTGAGGCAGTTGGTGGGGGTCATGGCGGGGCCCCTGGCATGGCTCTATGAGCACTCGTGGGGCACTGGCCAGGCACCAGAGGATTGGAAAAGGGCCAATGTGGTCCCCATTTACAAGAAGGGGAGAAAGGAGGACCCTGGCAATTATAGGCCAGTCAGTCTTACCTTGGTCCTTGGGAAGACCTTTGTAAGAAAATTATGACGGAGCACATGGCAATGCCTGAATTGCCTGTGTACACAAACTGTAAGATCAGAAACAAACATGATCAAATGAGCCTACTCTAATGACACAAATAGGTGCAAGTGCAGTGAAGCACAGACTGGAGTACATGCTTGTTTGCTGACTCCTTGGTGAGACCTATATGGAGGAAGATCTTTCTGCAGCAATGGAAAGAGCACTGGTGTGTGCTATGCACAGAGGCTGTCCATGCCACTTGTGGTCTCCATGCTGTAAGTTGGCCATGTTTGATATAAAGCATATATTACTGCAACATACTCTTATAAAGTAAGCATGGTATATAACTTCATATGACCACTTGTTTACAACAGACAATATTCTAGAAGCAGTTCATTCATATATATTTGTCTTGAAAGAAGAAGCATGCCAAAAGTACTACAATGTTAAGCCTGGTACCATTTAGCATTATTAAAAAGAAGCATAAAGGGCTAAGGGAAAAGGATCTTTATTAAACATTTCTCAGCAAAGGTGATTAAGTTAAAGGCTACACAAAGTTTAGCCAGCTCACTGTGCCCTTGACATAATTAACAAAGCAGTATAGGAATGTGACTAACTATTTAACACAGCACTAGAAAGGCTTGTCTTAATAACCAAACTAAAATGATATCCAAGAAATATTCTATAACAATATAATATAGACATGCCTTAGTACCGGGCAAACTAGGAGCAATGCTGATTACTGTGGGTGCTGACAGATGCGTAGGCCCCTGCTCTAACTCATGGCGCTTTATATAAAGCAGCATTAGTTAGAACACCCTCCCCCCCCCACTCAACAGACATTCACCTCTTGGGTTAGGGGGCGGGGTGGTGGGGGGAAGAGCTCCACTTTGGAGCCAACAGAGCAGAGGTGCCTGCCTGCAGCCACTCTCCCCTAGCCCCGCCCCCTCCCCCACAGCTGTGGTGCTGTCTGCAGGAAGGGAGAGGGGAGAAGCGATAGGGAGCAAGATGTGGGTTGGGGTTTGTTTGGGCTGAGCTGGAGAGAGAGAGGCCTGGGGGACACAAGGCAGGGGGAGGGCTCCAATCCACCTGCCCCTGCTCCAGCTCAGGCTTGGGAAATCCCAGCCTGCAGCTTGCTCCTCCTCCTTTCTCTCCCCACATTCCTGCAGACAGCAACAGGGCCAGGGCTGGGCTGCATAAGCCCAGCCCCCACACATTGGATTGACCTGAGGGAACAGAAGTTCCCTAAGGTGCTCCAAAGTGGAACGCCTTCATCTGATTTTTGATTAGATGAGGATTAATTTTGTCATGCAATCATCCACTTTTAAAGTGCTTTGCAACCATTCACTTGTCACGACATGGCTGTAGAGAGCTTTCACGGTGCCAGTTTCATGAAAAATGTAACTTCTGTCTGCACCCTGTGCCTCAGGTTTTGGTCAGTGTCCTTTCCGAGGCTTCAGTTTTCAAAACATGCTGTGAGGTACAGTTCAAAGCATCATATCATAGCACTGTACAAGGCATTTTCTAGACTTTTTATCCACGAAGTACAAAGCAAGGAACAAACTTCATTTAAGAAGTACATTAAAATTTACAAAGATACTAAAGCATCAACAAGGCAAGAGGAAGAGAAGCATAGACCCCTGTAGAAAAGTCAAAACTGACTAAGGTTGTAACCCCTAAGATTATAAATAGCCTTTTTTAAAACTCTCTTGTGCCTGTCTTTAGTTCAGTCCCTGGCATAGACCCCCTGTAGAAAAGTCAAAACCGACCAAGAACCACCTGTCCTTAAGGAAACACATGTGAAAGGATAAAAAAAAAAACAACTTGGGTAGACTTCACCATTCAGCGCATAGAATGTGGGAGGATGCCATCTTTGAACATGGTGACAGTTGCTCTTTGGTGACTGGTATCTCCTCTTCCAAGTATGGTACAAAGGTAATCTTGCTGTCTAACCCAATGTTTTCAAGGTCAACCAGTCCAATAAAGATGTTACCAATGTCATAGTGACAGAAGAAAGTACGTTCCCAAGTTCCACACCCATGTAATTGAAAAAATTTGGTACCATATATTGCCCTACCAAAATAATTATTGAGTTTGTCATATGTGTGAGGTTGCTACTGTCTTATTTTATTGTGTACTCTTTTATTTACTGTGTATTATTTCAATGACCGGTTACTGTTACTGTATTCACTGTAGTTTAATGGGTTTAATGTTTTTTGTTAAGTCATCATATTTGCAGCCAAACTCACAAGTAACTGTTTTTGTCTTCTGTTTTTCAGGTTGAAGTCTGATTGAAATACAGTGAGACCATGGCAGATCATGTGAGGAGAAGAACTGTAATTTCTGGGAAGTCATGAGAAGAACAGTCATGTTGATTTAAGCAAGTACATTATCTGTCAGACTGAAAATGATCAAAAAACGACTACAACTTCAAATGGAAGAAAATGAATCATGGAAGCAGCAGAGATTAGGAATGATATTGTCACAAACAGACTGAGACAAGTGTCAACCGATAGTGAATTTGTGTACCATGTAAATAACCAATGCTATAAGCAATATACATTGAAAAATGTCTAGAGAAGGCCACCTTGTGCTCGTAAGAAGAAAATGACAGTCAACCTACCAGTAGCTGTTTTTCTGAAGAGGAGACATAATGAAGAACCCACTCTTACGTACAACCAAGAGCACCTCCATCCTCATATAAATCATCAGCAAATCTTCCTTGAGTTATGTGCAGCCAGCAAAGTCAGAACAAAATAAGAGATAAGTTCTGCATCTGTGAAACACAAAGGGCTTCCAAATTTTTGGCAGCTGCTCTTCATCTCCAGGATGATGTGTTCTCTCAAATTGCAGACCTGGAATTAGAATCCCAAGTGTTTGGAGCAGATTTACTTTATCACAAAGTATGCCTGAAAATGTACCTGAAGAAATATGACAACACTCCTAAGCAGTCTGTTACCCAGAAAACACCCTCTCTTAGGGATACAGCTTTTGAGAAAGCAAATGAAATTGTAGGGCCTATGTTGAAAGATGGCTATCATTTCACACTTTCTGAAGTAAGAGAAATATTGTAAATGATTTGGCAGATGGTAACGTAATAAGGAATAATGAAGTGAAGATGCGTTTACAAAAGTGCTATGGAGATGGGATACATTTCAGTTATTCAGACTGTAAAAATGAGTCTATAATGGTGCTTTTTGCTGATCTAACACCAGATGAAATTTTTAAACACATCAGAAAAGTAGATGCTTTAAAACAGCAGTGAAGGACACATAGGAATCCCTTAAAAAAGTAGATTTTGGACTAGAAGATATGTTTGTGATTCTGATGAATAGAGGGCAGTGTGGTCAAGAACTCAATTGCCAAATGAACTTGGCATTTTTCTCAGTGCTACTCAATGTAAATAAGGGAGTGTTAATATTCAATATGGTGTCTGAGGAACACCAGCATGAAGATATGTCAGGGAATAGCAGTGATGAAAGTGATGGTGAAGCATTTGAGAATAGGACATCTAAAATACTTTCATATTAAAGCAAATCAACCCTAAATGCTTAAGTATTATTTCAGATCCTATATTACTCAGTTTATAATGGCCGGAAACCCCCCCACTTCAGATCATGACTGGCCATGCAATATACCAGGAGTTTTCAACCATTTTAAAACTAGTTTCATAGTTGTTAGGGTCGGAAGGAACCTATTAGATCATCGAGTCTGCACCCCTGTCCTGGGCAGGAAAGAGTTCTGGGGTCAGATGACCCCAGCCAGATGTCTGTCCAATGTCCTTTTAAATACCTCCAAGGAAGGGGACAGCACCACCAATACGGAAGCGTATTCCATATTTTGCAACCTTCACCATAAAGAATATTGTCCTGATGTCCAGTCTGAATTTTCTCTCTTTCAGTTTGTGGCCATTATTTCTAGTTACCCCAACGGGCGCCCTTGTAAACATTGTATCCCCTATTTCTTGCTGGCCCCCCTGGTGAGTTTGTAGGCGGCCACGAGATCACCTCTCAGCTTCTTATTGCGGAGGCTGAAGAGGTTCAGGTCTCCCAATCGGTCCACATAGGGTTTTTCTGCAGGCCTTTAGCCAGATGAGTGGCCCTCCTCTGAACCCACTCCAGGCCATCCACATCACTTCTGAAGTGCGGGGCCCAAAACTGGATGCAGTACTTCAAGCTGCGGCCTGACCAGTGCTGCGTAGAGGGGAAGTATCACCTCCCTAGACCTGTTTGTGATGCACTTACTTATGTAAGAAAGGGTGTGGTTAGGCCCCTACTTATGCAAGAAAGGGTGCGGTTAGTATACCCCTTCTGGTGGTGGCGGCCAGACGGAGCGGGGAGCGGGGGTGCTTGCATGAGGCAACAACCGCCGCCACTGCTGCTGCGTGCCACTGTGTGCTGCTTTTCCATGGCCGGTTGCGTGTGTGGCTCTGTGGGCTGCTGACAGGCCTCATCCTGGCCAATTGCGCACCACCTGTCAGCAGCCCATGGAGCCACACGTGCGACTGGCTGTCAGAAGTTGGTGGGTGGTGGCAGTGGTGTGGAGTGGTGGATGGTGGTGGCCACAGAAGGAAGGGCCTCTGTCCTCAAGCCCCCCAGCCCCGCTTTTGGGAGGCAGTGGCTGCCATGTGTGAGCCCCCCGCCCCACGTCTGTCCACAGAGGACTGCCTCCTCACTGTCAGCTATTGGCCACAGGCGGCAGTCATTCAGGAGAGTGAGCTGGGGTGGGGAGATGCCACAGTGTGCTGTATGGGGTCGGCGGCACCCAGTGCACTCCTCCCCCTCCCTTGGGTAAGAGGCCATGTGTGGCAATGCATTGGGGGAGGCACTGCTGCCGCGCCCTGGAGTGCACTCTGGCCCTGCTCACCCACTTGTCCCCTGAAGATCTTT